AGCATAGAGAACAGCTGAGTATGCTGAACTTTGCATGCAGTGCTTTCATTTGGAAATAGATTTACTAGAAATAGACTTACCCTATAGTTTTTAGGGTAATAATTGTGAGTATAGAGAGCCAGGTGCCAGTGGTTCACACCTGTAATCATAGTTACTCAAAAGACTGAGATGTGAGGATTGCGGTTCAAGCCAGATGGAGCAGGAGAGATCATGAGACTCAACCACCAAAAGGTGGAGGTGGAGCTATGGCTCAAGTGGTAGAGAAAAAGCTCAGGGACAGGAAAGTGTCCAAATTCTTTGAGTTTTTCAAACCCGTAACTGGCACATATACTCAAAAAAAGTTTTTTGAATATGAAATACTTAATGTGAACAAGCATGTGAGGCTACTGGCTTTGCTGAGATGAGTTAGGACTGAGCAACCTCTTCTGCATCCAGTTTCCAAATCTGACATTTCAGGTTTCTAGGAATTTGGTGACTGGTTTCTTCTAAGGGCAGGATACAGTGGCTTAAACTTTAGGAGCCTAGATTAAAGTAATGTTCAGTAGGTATATTCATTCATCCTTTTTGGTATTTTAAAATTCTGAAACTTGATTAATGGTTAGAATTCACCTTTATTATTTTGTATTTTGTATTTTGTATTATTTGTATTTTTTGGCATTGGGCTTGAAAGGTAGATTTTTTAACTTTGAGAATGCCAGTTTCTTTTCTTTTTTTTTGGTCAGTCGTGGGGCTTGAACTCTGGGCTTGGGCACTGTCCTTGTGCTCTTCAGCTCAAGGCAAGTGCTCTACCACTTGAGCCACAGCACACCACTTCCGGTTTACTGGTGGTTTATTGGAGATAAGAGTCTCACAGACTTTCCTGCCCTGGCTGGCTTTGAACGTCGATCATCAGATCTCAGCCTCCTGAGTAGCTAGGATTACAGGCGTGAGCCACTGGTGCCTGGCTGAGAATGCCAGTTTCTTTTTTGGGGTGGGGGAGTCCTGTCGTGGGGCCTGAACTCTGGGCCTGGGTGCTGTCCCTCAGCTCTTCAGCTCAAGGCTAGCCCTCTACCACTTGAGCCACAGCGCCACCTCCAGCTTTTTTCTTTTTGCTTATGTGGTGCTTAGGAATTGAACCCAGGGCCTCAGGCATGCAAGGCAAGCGCTCTACCACTGAGCCACCTTTCCAGCCCCAAGAATGCCAGTTTCTTAAAGGTAATGTTTATTGATCCTAAATTAGAACCACTCTTAAAACAAGGACAATCTAATCACTAATCAACTAAAAACTGTTTTGTTTTTTTTAAGGTGGTAGATTGGAATTAGATTGAGGAAGATTAAGCATTATAGTATATGTACATACAAAATGTATGTTCAGCCCATAATGGATTACTTCATGTTTGTTTCTAGATTTTCTTTTTATGTGTATCATTCCTGGGGCTTGAACTTAGGCCCTGGGCACTGTCCCTAAGCTTCTTTTTGCTCAAGGCTAGCCACCACTAGCTTCAGTTACTTTTTAATGCAGTCAATTACTTAAATTACATTATTTATAAATCATGTAAAATCTTCATGTTACTGTTCAGAGTAACAATGGGTTGGTAAGAAATTCTTTTTCAGTAGATAGTGGAAATAAGTCATTGCTTAGGAGTAATATTAATGTTGGTGACAGAATTATTGGCTACATTTCAGAGGGAGTGTCTTCCCTGTATGTCTCTGAATTTGTTCCTTGATGGAATTATAGTCTCAGTTTCTGATTTTGCTTGTTTTTCAATAATGTTTTTGTGGTGTAATCAAGAATTCAAACTTGGTTACAAGGTAGAGGTGTGTGTATGCGTATATGACACAAGAATTCAAACTTTGTTACAAGACAGATGGGGATGGTGCATGTCTGTCTGTCCATTCCTGTTCTAGTGCTTGAACTCATGCTTGGACACTATGCCTGAGTTTTTGTGCTCAAGGCTAGTGTTCTACTACCTGAGATACACCTCTAATTCTAGCTTTTGGTGGTTAGTTCGAGATACGAGTCTCACAGGAAGCTGCCCAAGCTGTTAAGCAACTGTTCCTCACATCTCAGCCTCCTAAATAGCTAGCCATTGTGCCCAGTTAAGTTAGGTGTTTTCTTGAGTAGCTGTTCCTGTGCTTAGAACATTTAGAAAATAATTCTGGCCGGGCGCCGGTGGCTCACGCCTGTCTAGCTTACTGAGGAGGCTGAGATCTGAGGATCACGGTTCAAAACCAGCCTGGGCAAGGAAAGTCAGTGAGACTCTTATCTCCAATAAACTACTAGAAAACCGGAAGTGGCACTGTGGCTCAAACGGTAGAGAGCTCGCCTTGAGCTGAAGAGCGCAAAGACTGCCCCAAGCCCCACGACCGACCAAAAAAAAAAAAAAGAATTTTGAAGGAAAGAAATAGTCATACCAGCTGATCTATTCTCAAGAGTTAGATCAGATGATAAATTGAAAGCCTTTGGGCTGGGAATGTCGCTTAGTGGTAGAGTGCTTGCCTAGCATGTATACAGCCCTGGGTTCTATTCCTTAGTATACCATATTAACAGAGAAAACCAGAGATAGCCCTGTGGCTCAAATGGTAGAATGCTAGCCTTGAGCAAAGGAAGCTCAGGGACAGTGCCCAGGCCCTCAGTTCAAACCCCAGGATTAGCAAAAAAGAAAAGAAAAATTGAAGGCCATTGTTACGTATGAAAAAATGTACATATTTCAAAGCAATTTTTTAAAACATTAAACTCAGGTGCAATCTGCCCATCTGTAACCCCATCAGTGATGGGTTTAAACCCTAGTCTCACTATTTTTAGGTAATGTGTTTCTACTTATAAAAGATTTTAGGGTTCATGGAGAAAAGTCTTGTAAATAGAATATATATATATATATATATTGAGAAATTAAAAGTTCATGACAGGATTTTTCAACCTCTTCAGTACTCATATTTTCAAATAATTATTTGCTGTGTATGGCTATCCATGTGAATGGTAGGAAGTTTACATGTTTCTCTGTTACAAATATAGGGGACTAGATTATCAGAGAGCTCAGCCAGTAGAGGTAGGAAGTATAAAAGGGTTCTGCGCTGGTAGTAGAGAGTGTGAACTTTGGTTGATGTTGATTGTCTAGAGATGAAAAAGGAGTAGGGAAGAATTGACTTGCTGAATATGTTACATGAACTGGAAATGAGTGTGGTTTTTCTTTCTGCCATTAAACCCATTCTTTAAGTTGTGTGGAAATACATATTAGTTCTTTAAATTGTATAGCTCCGCTTGTATGCTTATGTAAAATAGATTTTTGACATAGTGTTTTGGGAATTGATCAGTAATTACTGCTGCCAGAACATTTTTGGGGTGTTTTTAATTGTGTATAATCAGTATAATTCACTTTTCCTTGCACATTAAAGTTTAGTGGGGGGGACCCCTAGGCTTCTAGAAGGGGCTTGAGCTCTTTGACTTTTCTGCTCAAAGCTGGTATTCTACACCTCCACTTTGCATAACTTGGAAACATTTGAACTTTTGTTTGTAAATAATGTGAATAGTAGATTGTCACTGACGAGTTGCATTTTGTTTTTGCTCTCCTTAAAATTATGGGACATGATGCTTGAAAATTACTATTTACTGTAATTTTACATTTGTTTTGGTACTTCAGTAGTCAAATCTTTTTTCATAGTTTTATTGAATACTTGATTAAAATACAATAGGGACAAGTATAGGGGTAGATAAAATGCTTGTTTTTAGATTTGCTATTTCAAACCAAAAAATATCTTAATGCAACTTGTTACAAAAGGAAGTAGAAATAGTAAAACAGGATTTAGGTACTGATTTAAAGGAAGGCAGAAACATTGCTATTCTCAAATGGGTTTCTCTTACATTTGAGTTAGCTGGTTTAAGTATTGTGGAATCATGAAGGGTTTGTTTTTGTTTTGAGACAGTCTTAGGTTGGCTTGGAACTCATGATCTCTACTTCAGCCTCTTGAGTGCTGGAATATTAGGTCTGTGCCCCCACACCCTCTATAAAGTTTTTTCTTTATTTTAAGCTGTTGTTACAAACCTAGTTTCTAATTTATCAACATTCCTAAATGTAGCTGCATGTCTGTGGCGCAGGACTGCCATTGTGGCTCAAAAATGGTAGAGCACTGGCCTTCAGCAATAAAGCTCAGGGACAGCACTCAGGCCCTGAATTCAAACCCACAACCTCCAGGGAAAAGAATTCTAGATGTAGTGGCTGGGAAGGTGGCTCAGTGGTAGAGCGCTTGCCTTGCATGCCTGAGGCCCTGGGTTTGATTCCTCAGCACCACATAAGCAAAAAGAAAAAAGCTGGAGGTGGCCCTGTGGCTCAAGTGGTAGAGCACTAGCCTTGAGCTGAAGAGCTGAGGGACAGCACCCAGGCCCAGAGTTCAAGCCCCATGACCGGACCCCCTGCCAGTCTTGGGCCTTGAACTCAGGGCCTTGGCACTGTTCCTGAACTTTTGCTCAAGGCTAGCATTCTGCCACTTTACCCACAGTGCTACTTCTGGTTTTTTCTGTTTATGTGGTACTGAGGAATGGAAACCAGGACTTCCTGCATGCTAGGCAAGCACTCCACTACTAAGTTATATTCCCAACCCTCCTTTAATATTTTTATTTTTTATTTTTGAGCTTATCTGGGACCTTGAACCTGGGCACTGTACTGTCCTAGAAATTCTGTGCTGAAGGCTAGTGTTTTACTACTTGAGCCCCAGCTCCACTTTTGGCTTTTTGGTAGTTAATTGGAGATAAGAGTTTCACTGACTTTTTAAGCCCAAGCTAGCTTCGAACCAGGATTCTCAGATCTTAGCCTTCTACTGAGAATTAGCTATGGTTACAGGTGTGAACCACCAGCACCCAGCCCCTCTTAGTTTTTAAAATATGAAAGTGCTTAACTTACATGCTGGTTTTTTAATTTGGTAACCCTTTTGATTTTACGTATGTGATTTGTTGCCTCCCATAATAAATATACTTTTAACTGATTAGTAATTTTAAGACATGGTGTAATTTATTTCCTTTTCAGTATAATAATCATGAAATTCGTTCTGGAAAACACATCGGTGTCTGCATCTCAGTTGCCAACAATAGGCTTTTTGTGGGCTCTATTCCTAAGAGTAAAACCAAGGAACAGATTCTTGAAGAATTTAGCAAAGTAACAGGTAAGTTGGACTTGTTTAGAAGCGACATAACTTTTTTGTTTATGGGTAGCTTGAACTCAGGGCCTGGATGCTGTCCCTGAGTGCTTAAGGCTAGTGCCATTTCACTTGAACCATAGCTTTACTTCTGGCTTTTTGGTGGTTTATTGGAGATAAGACTCTCATAGACTTTGCTGCCTTGGATGGCTTTGAATTGTGATCCTCAGATCTCAGCCTCCTGAGTAAACTAGTATTACAGGTGTGAGCCACTGGCACCTTATGCTACAAGGTTTTGGCTTTGTGAGGGGGTGTCGGTCATAGGGCTTGAACTCTGGGCCTGGGTGCTGTCCCTCAGCTCTTCAGCTCAAGACTAGAGCTCTACCACTTGAGCACTACTTCTGGTTTTCTGGAGATAAGAGTCTCATGGACTTTCCTGCCCTGGCTGGCTTTGAACTGTGATCCTCAGGTCTCAGCCCCCTGAGTTGTTAGGATTATAGCTGGTGCCCGGCTTTATTATATTTTTACTATGGTTTAAATTTCTTTGGACTGTAAATATCTTTTTATAACATGTTCCAACTTCACAGGCTGCTTGTGTTGGAATATATTTTTGCCTATAGTGTTTAGCAAATTATGTCTTACCAGTCTCCAAGAACACTTGAAATTTTTAGCTCTGTATTCTTGCTGAAATAAACCATTGATATTGAAAACCAGAAAATATATTTTACTGTTTATTTACATAATAAAAAGGTCTAATCATGTTTGACCTATAGTTCATATAGGTTTATATATTATAAAATTGAGAAGACTTGAGAAGGAAAGTGACTTGTAACTCCTATTCATCCTTCGTCCTTACTTTTTGAGATTGTTTCATTGTATAGCCCAGGCTATCCTCTAACTGGTTTGTACATTTAAGTGCTTGGAATTATAGACATGCTAACACACCAGCTTTGAACCTTTTTATAAGATAGTCCTTTATAAAGGTGGCTACTTAGGAAGAGGGTGTTTTTGTTTTTGTTTTCTCATATCGATATTTAAATAGTATTTTAGGAAAGTAGTTCTTTGTATTTGATTTGGAGTTTATTTAATATCTTTGGAATAATTGCTTTCAGAGGGTCTCACAGATGTCATTTTATACCACCAACCGGATGACAAGAAAAAAAACAGAGGCTTTTGCTTTCTTGAATATGAAGATCACAAAACAGCTGCTCAGGCAAGGCGTAGGTTAATGAGTGGTAAAGTCAAGGTCTGGGGAAATGTTGGAACTGTTGAATGGGCTGATCCTATAGAAGATCCCGATCCTGAAGTAATGGCGAAGGTAATGATAGTTAAGTTTAAAATTTTTTTTGAAGGGTTGATGGGATGGATGAGAAAGAACTTTAAAGTGAATTGTATATTTTGTTTTAAATCATATGTGAGAGAAATATTCACAAGACCTTAGGGTCATATGCTAGACATGTGTGCATGAAAAGTAAATGCAAGAATTCATTCATGGAAACTTGGGCATCATGAGGAGGTGTTAGTCCATTTTTAATGAGATGTTTTGCTTCATATTTATGTAGATTCTAAAAGTGATTGGAGTGTCTATGTATGGTGATAATCACTTACATGGTTTTTATAATAGCCCTACTTCTAAATATAATGAATTATACTGGCCTGAGAAGAACTATTGTCGTTCAGCTATTATTAGGCATTCTGTTTCAGCAGTGAGTTCAGACATGCTGTGAGAATAAACATCTCTTGAGGTCAAAATCTTACATTTGAAGATTGTAGGTATCTGTTAAGGATCTCTTTTACTAGAGGCCAAGTATCAAATACAACTAGCTCACTTAAATCTAGAGATAGACAGGGGAACTAGGAAAACAATATAATTAAAACATTGCTGTTATAGGATGGAAGCTAACTTAGGATTCTTTTTCTTTAGTTTATAAAACTCTTAGGGATGGTCATGGGCTGGGAAGGTGGCTCAGTGGTAGAGTGCTTGCCTTGCATGCATGAGGCCCTGGGTTCGATTCCTCAGCATCACATAAGCAGAAAAGCCAGAAGTGGCACTGTGGCTCAAATGATAGAGTACTAGCCTTCAGCTGAAGAGCTGAGCGATAGCACTCAAGCCTAGAGTTCAGGCCCCATGACTGGCACCAAAAAACAAAAACAAAAAAACCAAAAAGGATGGTCACTTTACATCAACAAGTTCAAATGCTATTCAAGCAGTTTAGGAGAAGAAGATATTTTATCTGTTACTTGTCCTGGGGCTTGAACTTGAGGGTCTGAGCTTTTTTACTCAAGATAGTACTCTATCACTTTGGCCAACTGGTTTCAGATCTGTCTCCTGAGTAGCTAGGATGATAGGTATGAGCCACTGTTAATTAGCTGAAAGTTGTAACAAGAAACTTTGAAGATTAAGAACAGTGGGCTGGGAAGGTGGCTCAGTGGTAGAGTGCTTGCCTTGCATGCCTGAGGTCCTGGGTTCGATTCCTCAGCACCACATAAGCAAAAAGAAAAAAGCCGTAAGTGGCGCTGTGGCTCAAGTGGTAGAGCGCTAGCCTTGAGCTGAAGAGTTGAGGGACAGCGCCCAGGCCCAGAGTTCAGGCCCCACGACTGGACCTTAAAAAAAAAAAGATTAAGAATAGAACCTTGCGCATAAGACATAACACTCCCATAACCTAATCAGCTTTTTGTTTTTTGTGTGTGTGTGCCAGTCCTAGGGCTTAAATTCTGGGCCTCTACTACCTGAGAATACTTCCAGTTTTGATGGCCTAATTAGTCTTTAAGTATTTCCATCTCTTAAGATTTTAGAAGCAGGTCCTAATTAATTAATTTTTTTAAAGTTGCTAAGCATGTAGTATTGTCTTTGACCTTTTAAGTACTTTATTAGAGCAATTTTAGGTTTGCAACATATATTTCTTCTATGCTTTGCTCTACTCCCTGCTATCCTACCCTTCTGAGCTAATATACTAGAATAGCACATTGTTAAAATTGAAGAGTCAACATTAAACACCTGAAAGTCTTAATAGCTTGCATTGGACTTGACTGTTAGTGTACCTTTTTTTTTCTTAAGCAAATGTTTAATATTTTAATAAATTAAAATGTCTATTCCAACAAAATATTTGAGATAACTCATGAGGAAGAAAAGTTTGTTTTGGTTTACATAGTGAACCAAAGGTTCATGGTTGCTTGGCTGTTAGGCTTTCTGGGCCTTTCTTTTAGCTAGGTTGTTAGCAGCTAGGAAGCAAAAAGAGAAAAGGAAGAATAGGTGCTGCAGTCTTAATCTATGTCCTCTTCAGTTGCGCATTCCCAATGATCAGACTCTATACTAGCAGGTCGCAGCCTCTAAAGGTTCTTTTGCTACCCAGTATTGCTGTGGACTGAGGACCAGGATCGTAAGACATTGATTGGTCTTGGGGAATATTCAAGATCCAAACTATTAAAACTTCTATTTCTTTCTCTTTTTTTACGGTTTATATATGTGGTTTGAATTCAGGGTCTCAATCATGCTAGGTAAGTGCTCTAAGCATTTACTCTAGCTTTTTTTATTTTTTTGTCGGTTGTGGGCTTGAACTCTGGGCCTGGGTGCTATCCCTGAGCACTTTCTGCTCAAGACTAGTGCTCTACCACTTTGAGCCACACCCCACTTCCCATTAGTCTCATGGACTTTCCCACCTGTGCTGCCTTTGAACTTTACTGAGTATTTAGAATTACGGTCATGCCACCAGTGTCTAACTTTGTATTTTTTAGAAAAGGTCTCAGGCTAGTTTTCAACTCTGTCTTTCTGCCTCTGTCTCCTTAATAGTTAGTATTACAGATATTTGTCACCATGCTTGCCTTGAAGTGACCATTATAATGTTGTAGTGTTAATCTCCTAAAAGTCATCTGTGCTTTGCATGTTTGTCCCTAACACTCATCTGTAATAATTTTGCCTTTCAGAATGTCAGTTTCAGAATTACACAGTAGACTCTTCACATTGGCTTTTTTCCCACACAAGATAGTGGGGATTTAAGGATTGCTTATGTCTTGATGCTTTGTAACTAATTTGTTTTAGTGGTAAATACTTCATTCTATATGTGTCATAGATTATTTGTCCATGTACAGAGGACATCTTGATTGCCTCTGATTTTGGCAATTACAAAATCTGTGTATAGATTTTATGTGAGCCTAAATTTCCATCTCCTTGGGGCAAATAACCCTGGAGCAGATGGCTAGGGAAGAATATCTGTAGTTTTGTTAAGTTCCCAAATTGTCTTCTATAGGGGCTATTCCATTTTACATTCCCCTCACCCCAATCAGTGAAAGTTTCTGATTTTACAGGCTCAAACTTAGTTTTGTGTTAGGTTTTTTTTGATTTTGGAAATTAGACATGTAGTAACTTTCTATTCCCTAGTAATAAATGATGGGTATTCAACATCTTTGCATTTTGTATCTTTTTTGATAAGGTGTCTGTTTTAGGTGTTTGAGCAGTTTTCTTGGAATTTACCCATTGGACTTGAAAACAGTTTTTGTTTAAATATATTTCAGATACTCTGCTAGTGGTTGTGATTCAAGTTAACTTTGTTAGGATGGGGTGGTTGCATCTTACAAATGGAACTCTGGAGATATACAGGGAATTTGTTTTTTTATTTCAGGTAAAAGTGCTGTTTGTACGCAACCTTGCCAATACTGTAACAGAAGAGATTTTAGAAAAGGCATTTAGTCAGTTTGGGAAACTGGAACGAGTGAAGAAACTAAAAGATTATGCTTTCATTCATTTTGATGAGCGAGATGGTGCTGTCAAGGTAAATAAGTGGTGGAATTAATCATAGGCATCTAAATTAGACTAACAACTTTTAGTCATAATAGAATCAGTATGTTTCAGAAATTGGAGGCTACAGAGGTAATAAATTCCACTCAAGCAAAC